AACGCTTTGCTAATGATACAAAAGATAAGAGACTTTAGTTACAAAGAGATACGATTGGATGTCATTCACCGGAGTAATTATTTTTATCGACCCAGTATATTGTGCCTTTGATAATGTAATTTCTTTGATAGTGTCTATGATTTGTCATTTTGATCTCTTTGCTATTACGTATTATTTTATATTTATTAATCCAGTATAATATAAATATAAAAAATATGAAGTTTTACTTATTAACGGTTTTCCAATTTTACGTATTCAATGAAGACTTCCAACCCACTTGCCAAGCGTGTCAACTACTAGCAAAACCTCCTTTATGTGGAGGTGGTCTTAAATTCGAAATTCATTGCAATTTTAGTTAATTAAATAATAATATAAGTAAATAACATTTCGGTCCATAAAAATTGACTTAAATTGTAACAAATTTAATATAATATCTAGATGGAGAGTGAACCCTAAAGATTTCAAAATACATTTTTGACATAGGTATCGGAAGTATATGCGATACTACTGATTCATATACAAAAAAAAAATAGGCGAAATAAAAACTACTTATCTTTTAATGGAGCTTTAAAAAAAGAAAATCCTCAAGAATGATCAGGCAGAAGGGGTAGTATGGAATAGTTTATGTCTATACCAGATGATAGATGGATACACGGTTACCACTTTCCATCAGGTGAACCGTCAGCTTGTTTGCCATTCTAAGTTTCTAGCATGCAAGTTGTTATCGTCCCAAATAAACAGTTACTAATTAGAAAAAAAAAGTCAAAAGTGATTACTATCTACAATCCACAAGTATGAACAATATTCTACTAGAGAAGTTTTGGAAGATGTTCCTGCAAAAGCATTAATTTCGTATCTGCTAAATCTTGTGACTTGTTCCTCAGATATGTTTAGTTTGCTTTCGAGTTGGACTATTCAGAACAAGTTCGCCTCGGGCTGAATAAGAATTAACTCTGTGATCATTAAGTATATATCCGTGGAATGTAAGCTGATATTGGAGAAATTTTATCTATCTACCCACTACGTTACACGATCTCCTTAGGAATCTTGACAAACGTATATTCGCGTAACAAAGTGTGCACGAGAGAAATTGTAAGGATAATATTCTTGGTAAATATTCCGATTTTCTATTTGAAACTGGAAACATCGTTACGATGATAATACTAAACTATAATGATGACGCTGAATTGGAAACGTGTCTCGTTTTCCTTCGATGTTTCTCAGTCATATTTACTTTAATTCAGCATCTCATAGCTAGTACGAAGAAACCGTCATATTTATTATTGTGCTTATCTGCTTGTACTTATGTTTGTCAATTTTGTATAGCATCAAAAAGATTAGATGTTATGGATATTTCTAGATATCAATTAAAAAAATTAAGTTCGTCTACTCAATTGAAAATATTTGGTGTTGAAATATTCGTTTGATTGAGTGCCCATTTAATGAAATAAGAGCCTTAAGTGTTTAAAGTCATGTCATTGTATCTGACAGGTATTATGGATATATGACAGATAACATAATAGTTTGTTTTTACTAAAAAATGAGTTTATATATTGAGCACATCGTTTTACGTAAATGAGGCACCGGCTTCGATACCTGATCGAGTAAATTTAGGAAATCAATTTTCCTGCATTAGGTTGGATTCGATCATAAGTCTTGGTTGAATTTGTTTGGGCATTCTGAGTTGTACTCTAAGATGTTCGTAGCCTGATTTCCCTTTATACCGGGTATTCTAGCTTGGGGGTCACTGGTATGATTGCATTATATTTATTATAACTACCTGTCTAGTATAATTTTATTATAATTCTACTAAAATTATCTCAATCACAATCATGATTACGATATCCATAAGAACTCGTCATTAAGATAGCTAGTCGTATAATTCAACTTTCTCTGAAGCGTTCAGCTTTGATGGGCAATAAATATGGGAAACTTTGCAAGTGTAGACTTGCGAAGTCATAAACCTGATGATGATTGAAGCAGCCTTTCAGCGCAATTGCATCCAATTGTGAAAATTTCAGTAGTAACCCAAAACCTTATAGCTCTATTTATAAGAATACTTATGATACTTTTAACGAATTAGTAGATGGCTTGCTATGCAATATGAAATAATTAACAAATCCCAACTAATTAATTACTTTAAATAACAAAAAATATCTTTATAGTTAGTACAAAAAATCAGTTCATAATGTTAAAATGATGATGATTTAGTCATCTAAGGCAATATGATAAAAGTGGAAAAGTCCTAATGCCCATATAAAAAGATAAACATATTTTGTAAATATTAGAGCTAGCACTAAACCAATATTTACGATGTGAAGTAATTAACATATTAAATCTAGGTAATTTATGTTAATATTTCTAAAAAAATTACCAATATAGTGGCCAGTGTTGCCAGATTGGCCATTTTTTCGCAAGTTTCGGTAAAAAATTTTGATCGCGAAATTTTGGAGAATTAGATTTCTTGGAAAAATGTTTGGAGAAAGGCGAAATAGACCTGGAGAAATTTGGGTAATTTTTGTTCATAGTTTTAGTATTTGTAATAGCACAGGTTAAGACAAATTAAACATAAGGAAGAGCGTTGTTATTTTTTCGTGATTACTGGCCAAACGTAGTGAAAATCAACACAAGTTTGTGATTGGGGAAAAGAGAAGGAAATTGTATCGATCTGGAGAAGAGATAATTGGCATTTGCGTACAAATAAAAAATTTCGATCACAAGTCTTGAAAACGTTAAATGAAATTAAAAATATTTAAAGTTGTCAAGACTTGTAACCGAAATTTGAAAAAGTTTGTAATCTCTGTTTCTTATACAATTATATTTTCAGGTTGGGTGCTTTATAATTAAACTTTTCGTCCGTTGATACAATTTATAATTAGAAAGGAACAATTTTCAACTTATTTGTACTTACCCATTTGATCAAATACAGGGTAGCTTTGAGTAAATTAATTGTAGGCACCTATACATACTCCATTAATTCTAATACATAATCTATTATTAATCTCGTATAGATCACTACTCAAACGTAACGAAGCACTAGAAATTCATATAATGAATGTAGATACACAAGTAACACTAATGATTTATTGAATCGATTAGAAATTTAATTAAAGTTAGGTGCTTTGCAAGCATTTCAAATAACTTCCTATACTACTAATTTTTAACACGATATCTTTGCCAATTCTAAACTGATTATGATTATCTATTGTGAAATCAATACGAGTAGGTTTAGTCCCTTGTCGATTATTCTATCTATTCTTGCAAATTTTCGGATTTATATTTTTGATATATATCCGTATACTAGCCGTATACAGTATCTTCATAAACATCTTATAGTGTAGGCGTGGCAATATATTTAAATGAATTATAATAGTAAACATTTAATTAATTATCGTTAAGCGAAATTATTTTTTAGTAGCTTTTATTTGCGACTGCAGTCACACGACTGCGATATTTTTACCGGCCGGGATAGAAAGTAGTCTATATCCTTCTTTATCCTGGAATAAAGAAGGATACAGGCTATTTTTAGAAATGAAATTTGGCATACACATACTATATAGATAGTATGTGAATATCAAATTTCATAGTAATTAATTAAGACACCATGGTAAAGAAGTGTACCATCAATAATGTAGATCTTTAAAGGATCAAGATCCAAGGCATCCAGAGACGTAAAATACATGAAGTGATGAAATGTGAGTGACAGAGTGAGACTGTGTTCAGTGATGGGCAACATATATGAAATGTTCATGATTAAACCGCGAAGACTTCCTCGTGTGGTAAGAAACAGCTGTCTAAACACTTTTATTCTTAGATCTACCGAGACGTTATGGTCAGCGTTGCTTGTTTACAAACTTCTTTACTTGGTTGCTGTTATTTTAATTTTGATTTAAGTAGGACTCATGGGAATGGCACATTTTAAATGATTACTTTGACAAAAACAAATCTTATTAATGGGACCCTATTTTTTTTATTACAGCACGATATGTGACTATACCATCCTAAGCAAAGACAGAGACGATATGTTCCATGAATGTAACCAACCGAAAAGAGAATGTTTCACACTCAATGTTGATCATGTAGCTAAACAGTATCGTATTTTAATTACTTCATATTACTGTTAGGACTTAATTATTTCATGTTATCGTTACGTAATATAATTATTATTACATAATTAAAGTAATACTGGAAATCTTATTTAAATACGAAAGTTCGTAACGATGATTGGATGAATTAATGAGCGAATGTTTCTTCTAACTAATTCATACAAAAATTACTAAATGGAATTGGAGCAAATATGGTACACAATTCCTAATTTAATACATAGAATACTTTATACACTGATTCATACAGGTGAAGCTGCAGACAGTTAACAATAAAATAGTGGTTACAAAATTATAAATGATGCCACATACTAAATGGTCTATAATGGAAAAAGTGCCAATTTTTGTGGCGATGTTTCACTATAGCTTGGCTAATTATGAATAGATTTTTATTATCATTATTTTTGCAGTCAATAGAGTTTACTCCAATGATTGAACCTGTTTTTCTTTGTAGACAAAGAAGTACTTGCAGCGAAACAAAATTTAGTCGAATACACGCGATACCGCGTTCTAATTGAAATATTTTCAATTAAATTTATCTACAAAACATAGATTGTTGAATAATGAAAAAAAAGTCTTTATATTTACTAATATTATAAACGTGAATGTGTGTTTGTTTGTTAATTTATAATGCCTTAAGAGCTTTTTATTTTTTTATCTTTTTTATTTAGAGCCTTTTATCTTATAAGGATATGTCAGCCGCATCATAACATAATCTTAAAGAGTGGGGCTGATTAAAGGCTTAATCAATCACTATGAAATTGCATGCACTTACTACATAGGATGTGGAACGTTATAGGCTACATTTTATTCCAATCAGTAAACTCGTTCACACGGACAAAGTCACGGGTAAAAGCTAGTATTTTTATATTTTAAAAGTAACAAAATAGAACTTACCTCTAGTATACCTTCCGCCGTGTGCAAGAACGTGTCTGGGTGCGACGTGCAGTCTCGTGAAGCCACCTTCACTGTTCTCCAAATAACACATGACTTCTTCGGCAGTATAGTTGTTCCCATCAATCACATGGTCATCGAACGCGAGCAATTGGTCTCCCGGATGTAAGGCGCCACATCTGAAATTATTATGTACTTTGAAAATTCATGTTTTCAATCAATCAATAGCCCGGTCATCATTATTATATGAGCCGTCAACTGTTCACTGGTGAACATAGGCCTCCTTCTTAATGAGGGTATTAGAATTGCGGTACGGTTCCAGCATAGAATAGACCACCCGTTCCTTTCCAGTGAGTTTTAGAGGTCACTAAGGGAACTTTATAGTCGAGGGATGAGCAGCAGCATTCCTCTTAAACCATCACCAAAGCGTAACTGCGGCTACCAACCTATCTGCCAACCGTGGCAACTACCGATAATGAATAACATTTAGAAAAAAATAAATAAATATATAAACAAATAAAGCAAGATAATTGTTGTAAATTAGTCCTTACAAATTTGTACTAACATTACAAGGAGGAGAGATTTGATTGTTGGTCATGACTTTATTTTACGTAGTATATATATTTTCTGTTTTATATATTTAATAATTTTATGTTTTTGGTGCAATGAAGACTTACATAAAAATAAAATAATAATGAATGAATAGACTTAAAAATTACTCAACTTAGTTTAAAGATATAGAAAGCTTGATTTTATCTACCTGTGCAAAACCAGGTTGGATCACTAGATCATCAATTGTATATATAAATAAGAAAGTATTTGTTTTTCAGCAATCGTGATGAAATTTTGTAAGCACGTACATACGTACCTACTATATTTAATGAAGAAGGACATAGGTTACTTTTTATTTCGGTCAATGAGCATTATTTCAGATTGCAATAAGTCGCGGATAAAAGCAAATATATGAGGAAACAAATGTTATTTTGTTTTAAACGAATGAGTAGATTGTCAATGTAAAAGACAAAAACATAATTATACATATATTAGAGAAAGATAGACAAATAGGGCATTGACTTGGACAATATAAGCTCGAAGCTGATTTGGCGGGAATACGAACAAAAGAAGTTTTAATTATTTTAATATTTTGAAGTAGAATTAGTTTTAAATAAATATAGTTGGTTAGAATTAAGCGTGTTGTAACTGGATATATAGATAAATTATACAAAATATATACAAAAAAAATTATATATATATATATATATATATATATATATATATATATATATATATTATATACATTTAAATATAATACAATTCTATTGCAACAACCACGAATTAAAATTAAAATTGAATGCGTGAATTTTTCCTATTTTTGCAACATTAATTCCATATAAATTCTAACCTGTCATATACACACATTTTACAAAACACACACTAGTGTAATAATTTTCTTGTCTCATTTTTGTAATTGCATTGCCAGTCTGTAATACTACGTTACAAGTATAGAGTTTTACCAGAGGGAGACTTATAGGGGAGGGAGAATTATATTACTTAAAATCCTTCAAGAGCAGTGAAACTATGTTAAATAGAATAAGTAGGTAAGTTATTAGAAATACATAGATTGTTTTTTTTTTTTAATGGGTGAGAATGCCATGCCTGCGCTATCAGTATACACTGGCGGGGTACCAGTGAGAGGTGATAGGTGAGGATGAAAAGAAAGGTCAGCTAATCCATCGTGACGAATTCAATGATACATTAGTCACGAGTTTCCAAGAGGAACCGCGTGGAGGTCGACCTGATAGGATATATTGACAGCAATAAGGACTAACCTCCTCATTAATAACAATCCCTTCCCCGCAGTTTGGGGGATTTGTTTCTGATGATATTTATGTAAATACATTTGGATATGTTGCAACATAAAGATAAAACTAAGTTTGTAGCTAATAATAAATGGGATAACATTAGATCCATATTTTTTATGAAAGATAAGCACGAGAGCCTTAATATACACGATAACACTACAAAAAAATGGTAGTCATAAACTATCTTAGAGGGAAAATTATTTGAGTTTAGAAATTTCGGTCTGTTTTTATGACATTGCCGCTTCTACTTGTTGAAATTACTTTTTAAAGTTATATAATTCGAACATTACAGTCAATGGATTTGGATGACTCAGAATAATGGCGAAATGATAATGATAACACGTATTCCATGAAAGTGTAAGCTATAAAAGAAAATTGGAAAAGACACCATATTTACAAAAGAATTGGAGTTAAAATTCATTGGACAAAGCAATAACAATTACATTGTTCTAGATGGGTCTAACAGAGAAAAAGAATCGCATTCAACACCCTTGAACGTACAAACTTTGTAATTAACAGCGATTTCTTTTTTTTTTTAAGTGTTCGCTTTCTATAGGCTTTTGGTCTGATAAAAGAACAATTCAGGGCTATTAACGATTCTTGAAATGAGGGTTTCTTCGGATGTTCTCAACAACTTGGGACGGTAATCTCCATTCGCAGAAAATATTAATAAAACACAAGGTGAAAATTAAAAAAAAAATAAATGTGTACGTAAAATTAAACTTGAGAAATGTGTTGATGAATTTTTAAAATCTTTTCAAAGGTGAACCCCTTAAAAACATTTTTAAAATAAAAACAGACTTCAAATTCTGCTGAATTACTTTGTGTGTAATGCTTTTTCTACGCTGGTTTTATCAAGTATATATTTGTCTATATATGTTCACATTTCGCTTGTTCTCTCACCCATACTAATACATACACGTAGATTATAAAATTTTCCTAATTTCATTTATGAACTTGTATACTCTTACCTTTATAGATCAAGTAAAATAGATGCCCTTGAGTTTGGGAGCCTGGTGATCTGTAAGACGGGTAATCCTAGTACCGATACCAGTCTCTCATAAAGACTGTTTTTAAATTCTAACCTATATAGCTGTAAATTTTATTATGTCGTTTTGTGATAGAAATAAATAAATAAAGAAATTTATGGTTTTTTGTTTTTTATACAACTTAGAATGGCAAACAAGCTGACGGCCCACCTGATGGAAAGTGGTAACGGTCGCCTATAGACATGAGCAGTACCATGGACATAACAGAGTATACTGTTTCGCCCATGATACCCTCATGCGTTGCCATTCCTGAGGACTCATCAGGTGTTATTCCTCTGTACCCTGTAAATTCACGCAATATCCCACCCTTCAAATTGAAACACAGCCATGCAAACAACTGCTTCACGGTAGAAACACGAATGGGACAGAGGTGCACAAGCAAACGACTTTTGTACAAAGTCTCCCTATAGTATATAAATGACACCTAATTTTTATATGAAATAGTTATAGAAATATATAATACTATACTAGAATAATCCGATCCAAGCTAGCGAAACTGTGGAAGCTTGATAGCGGTTAAGAATTATTACTGATACATGCTGGAGTTATCCGATACCCTAATGGGGATAGAATTTACGATATAATATATTTCAAGGCTTCGTGACACTTGTATATGTACAAGCTTATTGTAACTCTAGAGGATATTCATTTAACTGTATATTAGATACAAGTACATTCCATAGTATATAATAGGAGAACCAATCTCAGATTTAGCTAAAATATTATATTGTCTCGCATTAAATAATTACTGTGTAAATTAATAAAATAATATAATGTATGGGTATTTCTCATACTATATTCTATGTATAAAACAGGTATATTAATACAAATATAAATGGTTTTATTTTAAAAGTGGTAAACATGATGGTACATAATATTTAAATATTATTCACACACTTCGCTTCTTTTACCAGAGAAAGACTTTGTACAAAAGTCGTTTGCTTGGGCACCTCTATCCCATTCGTGTTTCCATTATGAAGCAGTTGTGTGTATGGCTGTGTTTCGATTTTAAGGGTGAGATATGGCAGTGAATTTATGGGGTACAGAGGAAAATCACCCGAGTTTTCAGGAATGGCAACACATTGGGGGAGTATCATGGGCGAAACAGTACACTCTGTTATGTCCATGATACTCCTCATGTCTATAGGCGACGGTTACTACTTTCCATCAGGTGAGTCGTCAGCTTGTTTGCCATTCTAAGTTGTATAAAAAAAACTTTCCACACAAAACTCGTTTAATTGTGTTATAAACGCAAATTAAAACCGAAAGTCACAATTTTTTTTACAGATACGTTGGGCTTGTCATCGACACTTTTAGTGCATAAACCTCCAGAAAAAACGGGACCAGGCTATATAGATTAAATCGATATAAAATATATTGTTACAATGACTGTTCCCATCACATTCTTCTAGTTTTGTAGTAAAAAAAAGGCTTTTAATTAAACATCGGAAAAAAGTAAAGCATCTTTAGGAAAATTCAGAATGAAAAATTCCATTCCAGTTGTCTGGTGTTTTTGGAATTAAACGTTCTGTTATAATGTAATAAATTAAATTCAATTTTGCGATATCCTTTCGAGATTAAATTCTATAATATTATGTTACAATTAGGCATGGAAATTGTAGCTACATTAAGCTCATAAATATATTGTGAAATTATCATTTTTATTCACATACATATCACCAGTGACAAATCATAGAGAGTGGGGGGAAAGGGATTGTTAGTAACAGAGACTGAAAATCCTATTGCTAGCAATATACCCAACCAGGTCGACCTCCTCGCGGTTCTCCCTGGAAACTATCATGGTTAATTCCTGATGAATTCATCATGATGGGCTAACTGGTCTGTTTTCATTCTCATCTATCACCATTCACTGGTGCTCCGCCAGCGTATCCCGTTAGCGCAGGCGGGGTAACCATACCATATTCACCCATCAAAAAAATCAGTGACATTCGCTCGCAATCACTAAGTCGCAATTTCTACTCTTTGCTATTGAAAGTAAAATATAAATTATAATTTTTATAATAAGAACGAGCGAATACACATTAACGTGGCCGATGACCCACAAATAAATCCGAATGCAGCGACTATCTGCGATTTAATTTAGAATGATTTGTTATACTCTTTGTATATCGACGTAGCTATAATGACGTGTGATTTGGCGTAGCAAATGAAATTCCATTTGTGACTTGTGAAATATTCCATCATTTTCATCACTCTTAATTTCTACTAACTACTAAACATAGGTCTTTCCCACAGACTATTATAAGGAATACTAGCTGACTCGGTAAACGTTGTTTTACTATATACATTATTTCTAGAACTATACATGAACATTTATTGTACTATAATTATTATATTCGAGTGCCATTTTGCAAACCCATTGCAGACTATAAAAATCGCGATTAAAAAATAGGGGTTGATCGTAAAAGGGTGAAAATTTGGAGTTGTATGTATTTTTCTATGCTAAACCATAATAAAATAAAAGCTGAAAATTTTGTTAAAAAAATAAAAATAAATATCTAGGGGTGGGCCGCCCTTATCATTGAGAGGTATGAAAAATAGATGTTGGCCGATTCTCAGACCTACCCGATATGCACACAAAATTTCATAAAAAATTGTAAAGCCGTTTCGGAGGAGTTTGGTAACAAACACCGCGACACGAGAATTTTATATATTAGATTATCATAAAAAATGGTCCTGAGCCACCTGCATCCACTGACTTCCTACATTTGAGGTTGTCAATCCATCTAGTTGGGACCTACACTATGTGTGGTCATACGTTTTGCCACTCAAGAACCTTTCTTAAATGTTAAATAATAAGATGAAATCTTCGACTTACCTGTCACTTATACTAGCCGGCAGGATACTATCTATGTAAATAGCGTTACAGCTCCCCACTCTCTGGTACGTATCGGACCCTGAACTGTAGACTTCGTCTGAGTACCTCTGGTTACTAAGAAACAGTCCCAAGTCCTCATTGCAAGGTCTTTCAATCTCTATTAGTAAGGGTCCAGTGGCGAGTTTCACGGATTCCATAATTGAAACATCGTATTCTATCGTGAGGCTGGTAAGTTGAGGGCAGTTCTGCAGTATCTGATGGACTTCAGAGAGTGTTTTGTTTGTTAGTGATATCTGGAAAGAAATACGTCATTTTATTATTGCCTGATCTAAAACTTCCTTTTTCATTTATGATTCCTCTTTAAGAACTCCTATTAACTAGCTGACCTCTATCCAACCAGGCAAAGCTATGGAGAGAAAGAGATTGCTAGTAACGGGGTCTAATAGCCCAATTGCTAGCAATATACCCTATCAAGTCAAGTTCCACGCTGTTCCGCCTGAAAGCCATCACAGTTACTTCTTGTGGAATAAATACCCAACTTCTGATAATGAATGGATTATCAGAAGTTGGGTATTTATTCCACAAGAAGTATTACCACCACCACACTTATTTAATTATAGCTTCTTTAGGACTTCCATCAACAATAATTGTGATATATTTTATATAAAGACCACATAGTTAACTATACTTGTTCACTCTTGATACAGCAGGGAGCTCCGTTCTGTTCAACGGTTGGACAAGAAGTGTCTCCCCACCCAAATAACAATCTTTTATATCTACAGGGCCGAATTCGAGTGAACAAGTCAGCGAGACCACGTGTTCTTACAATTTCATTACTTTTTATTCAAGTATCATGACAATAAATAATTATAAAATTAATTAAAATATAAATTAGTGTTCTATATACATTACAAGAATAATTTATTATCAAATTTGGTACAATAACAATTTTAACGTTTTATTATATTTAAAGTAGTTAGTCTGATTTTTATTAATAAATGTAGGTACACATTTTAACACAAGATGTTAAGGAAATTAATATAATTGAAAATAAATATCTAACACGGCCATTCTGAAATGTACTTCGCTCTCGAAGTACATAATATATCACAGTACAATATCTATAAGACTTAATTTCCTTTATTTCTTAAGTTTGGAAAATTAATATAATTAAAAAAATATATCTAATACAAGCATATAATATAATAATAACAATATATTTGCTGAAAAACACGGTATACAGATGGTAGTAAAAATATGTTAGAAACACGCGTGTTTTGCCAAAACAATGGCGTGCAAAATTTTAATATTTATGGTAACTTCTTTTCAAATACTATTAACAAAATATTATTTATGTGCTTATAAAGTAGAATTATTCTTAAGTCCAACAAGTTCTTAATTGAGTAATAACATTTGTCCAAAAGCCATTTGTACAGTGTGTTCTTAAATTTTGTCAGTGTTTTTATATCGATAACGTAGGCAAGATTTTCATTCCATAAATCTATTTGGGAAGGAGGGACGGATTGTTAGTAATTATGACTATTAACCACACTGCAATTTATTTGGCCAGGTCGACCTCCACGCGGTCCCTCTTGGAAACTATCCTGCTTCTTGGTAATTCATCACGATAGGTCAACTGACTTAACTTTTCATCTTCACCTATCATTTCCATTAATACCTCGCCGACGTATATCGGTAGCACAGGTAAGGCTACCATTGCATTAATGAGGGATCATTGGAAAAAAATGATCCATTTTTCTTAACTGTATAAAAACTACGCTATTTTTCAAGTTTTGGCAAGCAATATACATGTAAAAGATTTCATTTAATTTGGTTGAGCGATTTCGGAGATTAGCGTAAACAAACATTATGACACGAAATTTTTATATGAACTTGTGAAATTCTATGTTTATCTAAAACAATTTTTATAAACCATTCTGTTATTCCGCTTTAATCTAAAAATGCATCAGAATTTTCACCTTTTTCATTACTGAAAAAATATTACTATTATATAGATATAAAATGTTAAATCTTAGATTCCAAATTACTGAATAATTTTGAAGCCAGAGGGAGACTTGTACAAAAGTCGATTGCTTGGATACCTCTGTCCCATTCGTGTTTCAACCGTAAAGCAGCTATGTTTGCATGGCTGTATTTCGGTTTGAAGGGTAGGATATGGCGTGAATTTACTGGGTACAGAGGAATAACACCTGAGTCCTCAGGAATGGCAACGCATGAGGGGTATCATGGGCGAAACAGTATACTTTGTTATGTCCATGGTACTGCTCATGTCTATAAGCGACGGTTACCACTTTCCATCAGGTGGGCCGTCAGCTTGTTTGCCATTCTAAGTTGTATAAAAAAAGCCTTTTAATTATTAGCAATGTAAGTGTACATGGAAGTGAAACATAATATTAGCTATTTAGTTATTTTGTCACGCGAAATCACGTTAATTCACTTAGGTACTACTGTAACGAACTAAACATAAGTCATCGTTAGTCGTACCAATAAGTTGATATTACTGTGTGCCTAATATTTTTTTCACCTAAAATAAACAGAGGCAATTTTTCTTCGTTAATGTACAAGCAAAAAGTTCTATACACTGTACCTAAATAGGAATAAATATTTTTGTATGTGTTTGAGTATGTGTGTGTGCAGTGCGTGTATGTGTGCGTGCACGTGTGTATTATTATATCAGCTGTACAATGCTGAACACAGTTCTTCCCTATATACTGCCATAAGAAATGATCCTGAGACAATTGCATCCACTGTCTTCCAGGAATGCATTTTGAGACTGTCACTTTATAGAGTATCTTTCTTCATTACATCGTTTGGCGGTTCAAATCAAGAACATTTCTTACTCACTATCGGTTCTTCCTATTTAATCAATTTTGTTATTATCATTCTTCGGGCTATGTCGGTCATTTTGGTTCTTCTGCAAATATCCTCATGTCGGATTCTATCACGCAAAGAAACTTTGTGTATAGCCCTCTCCAAAACTCGCTCAGTAACTTGAAGCTGTCCATATGCAAACAACCGTGTAAGATCATGTTTCAGTTCCATAGGATATACACGTACTGGATAAAGACCTTCATCTTCAAGCTTGGAGGTATTTTAGACTAGGTGTGACTTAGTTTTCATTCATACAGTGTATATTTCTATAGAAATAAAATAACTAAAGGCACAAGTAAAATTAGATAAAAGGTCAATGTACTTACATGATCTACTTTCAAAAGTCTATCCCCAGGTTTGATTCTGGACGTATTATAGGCGGCACCACCAGGCCTGACATGTGTGACTACCAGTGGCTGGGCATCTAGAGACCTGCTGTTCAACACCAGGTCGGCACTCGGCGCGGAGTTGTCTGGTAGGCCACCGCGGATCGTGATTCCGAGGGAGCCATTTATTTTTTCGACAGGCACTTCTGCTAGCTTGGTTGTGATGTACAAAGAGTTTTGGGATGCTGTAAGAGAAAATATTAAAAATATTTCACATGTCAAAAAATCTTACAACTAGAATAGTCACGCATAGTTCGGTTTCAGAGGAGATTCCTTCCGCGAACACTCAGGTTGTGGAATGATATTCCTGCCAAGGCTTTCTCTAGATACTACAGTATGGGGCACTACAAAAAGGGCGTATTAAGGTTTCTTAAGGGTCACACTTGGTGTTACAGGCATCCATAAGCTGTGGGAACACCATTTGCTAATTTATATCCAGTTTGACTGATTGTTATTTAAACTTTTAAATATTGTATATCTATGTGCGTGTAAGCATTCTTTTAGACATCCTCGACTGTTCAGTACTCCATCTACCAATAATAATGTCTCACATAATAATCCCATTCATCGGATGTCACTTGTATAACAAAATTAGCGAAGGATTCGATATCTTTTATCAGAGGTTACTAAAGGCACAAGTAAAATATGAATTAAATAATATAGTTGTTTCATTGGGTTTAAGAGGTCGTTGTATGGTTTTGAGATGGAACGAGTTTGTATTTTTTTGATAGAATAAGTTCATAATTGTAATCAGTAATATAATGTACATCTATAAAAATGTTATAACGTTTACTTATAACTTAGTGTTAAATGATATTTACAATGTAAGGTTGGCAAACTGCGTATTGATAAATTTTTGTATTGTATTCTTTTTAATGGTTCATTTCTGTTTGCAAACTGTTATTGTAATTTATAACAAACAAATAAATAAATAAATGTGTGTGTATGTATTTTCATGTGTTCGTATTGTATCTGCTACGCCTAACAACTTTTGTGTTCTCTGCTTGTATGTATTACCATAAAATGTTTCATGCCAGGGATCAGGAGAGGTCCTGGTGCCTTGTGATCAAAAACAAAAAAAAATCTAAAGGATACCCAGTTCAGGCACCAGTTCTCTACAACTTTGATGTATCTATTTACTATCAGACACCAATTACGATCATGAAAGACTGTATCAATATAAGACATCTTTTTTTTGCCACCAAAAAAGTATAAAAAAATTTATACCTATCAATATATATAAAATTAAAAAAATTTAATCTTCGCAACTTTTTAGTTCTTTTACTACAAAAAATTGTATTGGAATCTCGTTTAAAATTAAGTGAGTTTTAAAATGTTTTTAATTAGTAGTCTATGGAAGACTGTATCAGTGTTAGACATCTTTCTTTCTATAATAACTATAATGACTTAGCAATTGTACGGCAATATACATTCAATTAATAAAAAAACTTTATTCTTCAGTGCACTTTTTAAATTTGTTTAATGATCGAAATAGTAGATTTTGTATTTGACTATTCGTTTATAATTATGGTACCGCTTGATTTTAAAATGTTTTTAACTTAAATTATAATAAATACTATAATACATGAATATATATATATATATATATATATATATATATATATATATATATATATATATATATATATATATATATATATATATATAAATGTTTATAATAGAATTCTGAATTTAAATAGAAAATATTCACTATGGTTATCTGCATTTATGATATAGTCTCATTTATCTAGAAAATAAAAAAAACAGCTATTAATAATAATTTAAGTTTATTAATTTTACCATCTTTATATTGAAGATTTAATTCATTGCGTACTTATTTTGCAAACGCATTCTATTTAAAATAAAAATAATATTTTTTCAAGCTTTATAATACTGATTTGGATTGTCCACAAAACTTTATAATTTGAAGGGGGTTTGACACGTGTCATTCTATCTGAGTCGAATTATACTGGGAACTATCGATAAAGGGGAATTTTGGTGACACATTTATTAAAGCTTCGTCATACTATTCTGACTTTCTTTTATTGTTCAATGGAAACCAGAACTTTATACTTGAAACTAAACACGTAAAAAAAAGGTAATGAATATGTTCTAGAAAAAATGATTAACCCTTCTTTGCATGTTTTTATTTTATTGGTGAAATAAATCAAGATGATATAATTCATGTTCAAAATTTAAGGAAAAATGGATAAAAAAATAAATTTGACAGCTATGTTTTTTTTTTTGCAATAGACAATAAAAAGGTATCCCGACTCGATCAACTTAAAGTGAACTTGTTTATTTTATATAATTTTTGAGCATTTGAAGTTATAATGGTAATTTCTACCATTATGCAAAAAAGGGTTCAATCATTCGTTGCTTAAATAAAATGTGGGTGTCGTAAGAGGCGACTAAAGAATTTAATCATCGAAGGTTATATCATTATTCTATCAGCTGTTAATTGTTCAGTGGTGAACATAGGCTTCTCTATTTGGGGTTGTTATCAGTAATTGCCACGCTTGGCAGGTTCGTAGCCAATGGAGGATGATAGATTGGGAAAAACAGGTAGGGTATATTGTTAGCAATGGATCGATACTCCAATTATTTAACAATTTCTCCCCTGTCCACGGAAAATAGTTAAACCGTCGCTTATGGGGGGAAAAGGGATTGTTAGCAATGGAGTTTGACAGCCCCATTGCTAGCAATATGCGTTATAATGTCGACCTCCAAGTGATTCCCCCTAAAAAAACCATCGTGAACAATTCTTGTTGAATTCGTCACGATGGGCTAACTGACCTACTTCATCCTCACCTATCATCCTTCACTGGTGCCTCGCCAATAGTGCGGGTGGGGTTGCCATTCCATTACCATCCATTAAAAAAAACCGTCGCTTATGCAACGTGATCATCACATGTGTGATATCATAGGCTTTTTATATTTCATTTCATTGCAATATCCTAACCTTTAAATTGAAACAATAGCTACTTGAATACAGTTGCTTCCCAAGTGCAAAAGAGGTCTCTAAACATACAATTTTTACACAAAGTTTGACCTGTAAAAATAAACTTACCATAATTAGGCATATAATATTCGACCTCCAAAGAAGCCCTTTCCTCGACATTGTCCAGTAGCCTGAGGACCTCATCATTTGTGAGACGAGCTGTGGATATTCCGTTCACGCTGCAAATCCTGTCACCAGGTGCTAGTCGATCGGATTCGTGGGCCACGGAGTCCTTTGTAAATCCTACAATCGAAGGTACGATGCCAGGTTCCGACCGACCTGTGGACAAAGGAAATTTGCAAATTTTAAATATTGATACTGTTGATTGAACGGCCAGTCTGAATCTAAGAATCGTGACGCTGTTTAGTGAACTCTAAAAGTATAGGTCATGGACGTATGATTCCGCGAACAATCTATGAAATGTTTAAAAAAGATACCTCGTTTATAGATGAAGCACATGTCGCAGTATATTCGAATAATAAACACATTTGCAGTTTTTTTATGTGAAATAAAAGGTCAAATGAGTTGACAGTGGACCTGATGAAGTGGTAATCATCGCCTATAAATAGGAACAACACCACAGACATTATAAAATGCTTTATAATGTCCATAGTACCCTTTATAATGCATAATATGTGCATTATCTCCAGAGGGAGACTTTGTACAAAAGTCGATTGTTTGGGTACCTCTGTCCCATTCATGTTTCAACCGTGAAGCAGTTGTGTTTGCATGGCTGTGTTTCGGTTTGAAGGGTGGGACATGGCGTGCATTTACAGGGTACAGAGGAATAACACCTGAGTCCTCAGGAATGGCAACGCGTGGGGGGTATCATGGGCGAAACAGTATACTCTGTTATGTCCATGGTACTGCTCATGTCTGTAGGCGACGGTTACCACTTTCCATCAGGTGGGCCGTCAGCTTGTTTGCCATTCTAAGTTGCTAGAAAAAAAAAATGTACTTATAATATAGTATGTGTATTTAATGTAATAAATCATCTCTTCTAACAAATTATATATTTGTTAAAAGAGATGATTTATTCTAAATTAGATCTGGGAGTTACGTGTGCGTTTGATTTATAGTCGACTTATTCCCAACAATATATATTTATCAACCTATCGTTCAGTTAGTAAGGCACCTTATTATTTTCATATCTTCGAATTTTGTATAACATCACTTTTTTATTCATTGTGAATTGGTTAGATTATTTTTGGATCGTTCTTCGGTTTTATTGCCAAGAAACTTTTGTATTTAGTGGAAGTCTTGAGATAGTAAAAATAATTTTGTTAGTGAAAATACTTTCGTACATAACTTTTATTTATTGTTATTTAATATACTTTCAAGTAGTTAGAAGATTTTAAAATTTCAATAATATATATATATGTGTATGAAAGAGGATGCTGAGTAACTGACTGACTAACACATATGTCAACGCACAGCTGAAACCGCTGAATCTAGAATCTTGAAATTTTGCAGGTAAGTTTTTTATATTGTGTAGATGAACAATAAGAAAGTATTTTTGAAAATACAATCCATAAGGAGATAAAACCTCCAAAATCCACGCGTATAAAATCGCAGCCAAAAGCTAGATACAGTATAAAATATAAAACTGTACAAAACAATGTTATTTACTTAACATCATTTACTGCATCCATATACATACATACATACATATACATATCTGTCACGCCTCTCTCCCATTAGGGTAGGCAGAAACAATGGAACGCCAAATACTTCGATTCAAACAAACCTCTTTCTCTTCTTCCATATTCATCAATCTTTTCATACACGCTCGCCGGTTACGGGTACTTTTAATTTGGCCCTTCTTCAGCACGTCGCCTATTTGGTCAACATATCATAGTTTATATCATACTAGTTCCATAACTCTTAGATTATCATTGTGAGTTATTATTACTTTATTAAAATATAATTCCATCTTATTTATTTTTTGTACTCTAGCATTATTGTACTTCTTCTATATTGTTCAATAACATTTGAAATGGAAAGATAATATTAGAACGAGAATCACAACCTCAGTGTTCTTACATTACAATCAGAATACAAAACACGTCTGTGAGTAGGTCCTCGGCTGCAGCTAACTGCAGTTGCTGAGCCAATCAACCGGGGTGATTGTACTAGTGTCTTGAATTTAAAGACGACGGTGTTAATAGTTAGTTTGTCTAATTGCCATACTGTGGCTTTTTGCTTTGTCTTCGCCACTTCTGTTACCCTGGTAGTTTATGTCGGAGAAGTTTCGAAATCTCAAAGGGAAAATTCTATTTGTCTCTGACTCAATTCTATTTCAGTTGATTTTTATAAAAAAAACTAAATTCTATATTAAAAAACTAAAACGTATATATAAAAGAATAAATTTAAAGAAGTTTATTCTCAAACTATGAAAAGTTATTTTTGTCATCAGTTACATACAAGTTGAACTCTAGAAGTATGCCGAAACTATGAGATAGCAGTGATAATTTTTTTTTTATGGGTAATAATGGGATAGTTACCCCACCCGTGCTATTAGTATACACCGGCAGGGCACCAGTGAAGAATGATAGATGAAGATGAAGCAGGTCAGTTAGCCCATTATGACGGAATTCGTTACAACAAGAATTTTTCACGATGATTTCCAGGGGGAACCACGTGGTGGTCGACTTAATATGTCCATATTGCTAGCAATGGGGTTGTCAAACTCCATTGCTAACAATTCCTTTCCCTCTAGTCTGTGTTAGTAGACGATTCCCTAGTCGTACATATCACTTCACAGGAGTTCTGAGTACGAAATTAACAGGCTATAATATATACTACCAGGGGGGAAGGAACTGCTAGTAACAGAGTCAATCAGGTCGACTTCCCACGGTTTCACCTGGAAACAGTCTTGGTTAATTCTTGTAAAATTCTTCACGATGGGCTAACCGATTTTCTTTCATCTCTCACTGGTGTCCCATCAGCATACCATATAGGTAGGTGCTGTTACCATTCCATTATCACCAATTAAAAAATAAAAACACCAGCGGACTTATCACAAACATTTAAACATTTCACAGATTTAGGTCACGTGACTAAATTATGGCTTGTTTTAACTATGCTTTTAAATGCCAATTTATAAAGCAACTCAATTAAATTTGTAAAATTGTTAGCTGTCTAAGCACATATAACAATTTTACAGGAAACGAGAAATATTACGTAGCGGGAAAACAATCGGATATACTTAATGACTTTCACACGTCTATGGAGCCCTATAAACTGGGTCCGTACCAAGCAAAACAACATAAAACTAGATTGAAAACTATAAGGGTGTGTCATCATATCTCATCCTACTACAAAGTCGTGTTTGACTTTGAAGTGTTGAAGTACAGGCTGGCCGGCGCTAACAATGCTATAAACTATAGGATTGGGAGTTACTGTCTTGTTGAGAGCGGAAAGCGAGTCTTAATAATCTTTAATAATATTATAAATATGAAAGTGAGTTTGTTACGTTTTCACACCGTAACGACTCAACCGATCGTCATAAAATTTATCACACGCGTAGCACTTGGCATCAAGGATATAGAATATATTTTATCCTGGTTAAACAATATGTCCCTTTTTCATGGACACATTTCACGACTTTCGTCAGCATAGCTGGTAACACTATATTTTTTTTATACAACTTAGAATGGCAAACAAGATGACGGCCCACCTGATGGAAAGTGGTAACCGTCGCCTATAGACATGAGCAGTACCATGGACATAACAGAGTATACCGTTTCGCCCATGATACTCCCCATGCATTGCCATTCCTGAGGACTCAGGTGTTATTCCTCTGTACCTAGTAAATTCATGCATATCCCAACCTTCAAACCGATACACAGCCATGCAAATACAATTTGAGACGTTTCCATTTAATATGACATGGAATATAAAATACGTGGAAAAACCGTGGACCAATATTTTTCTTTGCAGATAACTCAATCGTGACAAAATATACTTAATTTAATGTTTTTTAAAATTATATATTGCGTTCACAACATGGCTGCAAATAATATTGACAGCAGTAATAATGAAATTAATTTTTCGTGATGATAACGCTAGTCGCTGTCAGTCAGATCTTAATAAAAGTATCGAAATAGCGCGTCATATGAAACGGTACTTCGCCCTGGCAGCAATTTACTCTATTGGAAGGAGGCTTTATCTAATTTTTTTATTCACACTCATTGAGTTGTGTATAATTAATGATCACACTTTTAGAATATTATTTATTTATTTAGCTCTTTATTGCACCAGAAACATATAAATATACAATGATAATTGAACAATTCTAGTGAACTACAGTACCATAAAATACAGATTAATATCAAAGCAATCTCTTATAGACAACCTTTTATTATTTTTTATTGATATATTTGATTTTCTTATTTTATTTATCTATTCATGTTTACCAACAATTATTTGTTATTTATTTTACTAATATATTATTTATTTTATTCGTAAAATGGCTTTAATTGTACCTACTGAAAGCACTAATAATGATATTAACTTGTGACGACAACGCTTCCCGCTGTCAGTCAGGCCAAAGTGGGATCTTCATAAAAGTATCGAAATGGCTCGTAAATATGAAACGGTACTTCACTCAAGCGGTCATTTACTGGATTAGTGTTAGGCTGTAAACAGTAATTTGCTTTTCAGCGATAGTGTCAAAGGGCACTTATGTCGGAAATGGGATTTAATAAATAAAATTGAGTGGTGCTCGTCTTATTTTATAACTTGAAAGTGTTTTGACGATTTTAATGGTGTAGCAGTTTAACGCACTAGCTTGCCTTTAGTAGTGGGTTCGGTTCCAGCACATTACAGATATTTGCATCGATGAGTATGTCTTTTTGTATCGATAAATTTTATTTTACAACACAGGGGACAAACGAGCATGCAGCTCACCTGATGGTAAGTGACTACCGTCGCCCATGATCACCCACAACACCAACGGCATTGCAGGTGTACTGCCGGCCTTTTAAAAGGGAATATGCTCTTTTCTTGAAGGTTATGTTGTCGTATCGGTTCGGAAATACTGCTGCTGGAAGTTGATTCCAGTATGTATTTGTTCTATTTTCAGTATGTATGCATTTACAAAGGAATACCAGTCCTATTGCTAGCAATAGACCCTGTCAGGTCAACCTCCATGTGACCCCCCCAGGGAAGTCATTGTGGAAAATTTCAAGAATCACAGCGAGCTAACTGATCTGCCTTTTCATTCTCACCTATCATCACTCAGTGGTACCCCGCCAGCTTATATCGTTAGTGCAGGC